AAAAAAAAAAAAAAAAATCCAGGCAAACTAAAAATAGCACAGAAACTTCTTTGACCTGATAAAGGACACTTACAAAAAAACTATAGCTATTCATACCTATTGGTGAAAACTGAATTCTTTCCCCTTAAAACTGGAAATAAGGGGCGGTACCTGTGGCTCAAGGAATAGGGCACCAGCCCCATATGCTGGAGGTGGTGGGTTCTAACCCAGCCCCAGCCAAGAAAAAAAAAAAAAACTGGAAATAAGACAGAGATGTCTGCTATCACCATTTCTACTCAACATTGTTTTGGAGGCAAGAAAAAAGAATAGAAGTATACAGAGAAGAAGTAAAAGATAGAAAAGCAGGAATAAAAATGGACTAGATGCATCACACCTATAATCCTAGCATCTGGGAGGGTGAGACAGGCGGATTACCTGACCTCAGGAGTTCAAGACCAGCTTAAGTAAGAGTGAAGCTCCATCTCTTTTTTTTTTTTTTCGAGACAGAGCCTCAAATTGTCACCCTGGGTAGAGTGCTGTGGCATCATAGCGCACAGCAACCTCCAACACCTGAGCTTAAGTGATTCTCTTGCCTCAGGCTCCCAAGTAGCTGGGACTACAGGCGCCTGCCACAATGCCTGACTACTTTTTGGGTTATAGCCATCATTGTTGTTTGGTGGCCTGGGCTGGATTCGAATCCGCCACTTTAGGTGTATGTGGCTGGTGCCTTAGCCACTTGAGCCACAGGCGCTGAGCCTCAAACTCTGTCTCTAAAAATAGCCAGGCTCTGTGGCTGGCACCTATAATCTCAGCGACCTGGGAGGCTGAGATCAAAAGATCCCTTGAGCCCAAGAGTTTGAGGTTGCTGTGAGCTATGATGCCACAGCACTCTACTGAGGGTGACCAAGTGAGACTCTGTCTCAAAAAAAAGAAAAGAAAAAAAAGGAATAAAAACAAAGCAAAACAATATAGTAAATGAGAAAGAACTACATTAAATGTAAATGAAATAAATGTTCCTGCTTTAAGAAAAATTACCTACCTGAGAAAGAATAAGACTCCCACCTGTACTAGAAATAGAAAAATTAGCTAGATGATGTGACAAGCACCTGTAGTCCCAGCTACTCAGGAGACTGAGACAAGAGAATGGTTTGAGCCCAGGAGTTTGAGGTTGCTGTGAGCTATAACGCCATGGTACTCTACCCAGGGTGACAGAGTAAGACTCTGTCTCAAAAAAAAAAGGCTCGGCACCTGTACCACAGTGGTTACGGCACCAGCCACATACACTGAAGCTGGGAGGTTCAAACCCAGCCTGGCCAGCTAAACAATGACAACTGCAACAAAAAAATAGCCAGGCATTGTGGCAGACACCTGTAGTCCTACCTACGTGGGAGGGAGGCTGAGACAAGAGAATTGCTTAAGCCCAAGAGTTTGAGGTTGCTGTGAGCTGTGACACTATAGTACTCTACCAAGGAGGACAGCTTGAGACTCTGTCTCAAATAAATAAATAAATAAAAATCACTAGAATGAATTAAAAAAAAAAGACATCTGTAAAATGAAAGATGCCAAAAGTCAAAGGGTAGTATATGACCTGTGAGGAACCCTCAGGCATGGTTGGCAGGGGTACAGTCCAGTCCAGCCACTCCCAAGAAGAGCACCTGGGAAGTCCTTAGTAACTGTGTACATGCTTAGGACCTGGCATTTCCACTCGCATGAATATTTCCAAGGAATTCTTTTTTTTTTGCATTTTTTGGCCAGAGCTGGATTTGAACCCGCCACCTCTGGCATATGGGGCCAGCGCCCTACCCTTTTGAGCCACAGGTGCCACCCCCATTTCCAAGGAATTCTTACACAGCTCTATAAAAGGAGGTAAAAGGGAGAGTACAAGGATGCCCACAACAGTTTTGGACTCATACCTTGGAAAATGACACAGCAGTGTTGGGCACAGGCAAGATGTGCACAGCACCATGGATGTATCTTACAAATACTACACTGAATGCAAAAACTAACACTTGCACTTGTAACACTAAAAATATGCCCATGGGCAGTGCCTGTGACTGAGAGGGTAGGGTGCCGGCCCCATATACCGAGGGTGGCGGGTTTAAACCCGGCCTCAGCCAAATTGCAACAAAAAAATAGCCAGGCATTGGGGCGGGCACCTGTAGTCCCAGCTACTCGGGAGACTGAGGCAAGAGAATTGCCTAAGCCTAGGAAGTTGGAGGTTGTTATGAGCTGCGTGACATGTGACGCCATGGCACTCTACTGAGGGTGATAAAGTGAGACTGTCTCTACAAAAAAAAAAAACTAAAAATGTGCCCATGAAGCAATACAGATTTTGCAAGAACACAATCAAAAGGATACCTTAAACACAACAGACTGGTTACCTATGGGGTGGGAATGGAATGGTCATGAGAAATTAAATGTAAGATGGTGGGGGCTTGGGCTTGCCTGGACCAATGATCAACGGGCCAGCCACGGTGGCTCACACCTATAACCCAGCACTCTGCAAGGCCAAGGTGGGAAGATTGCTTGAGCTCAGGAATTCAAGACCAGCCTGAGCAAGAGTGATACCCCACCTCTATTAAATATACAAAAATTAAACCGGTATTGCAACAGGCACCTATAGTCTCAGCTACTCAGGACGCTGAGACAGGAGGACTGCCTGAGCCCAGGAGTTCAAGGTTTCTGTGAGCTAGCTGACACCAGGTGACAGAGTGAGACTATCTATAAAAAAAAAAAAAAAGAAATCATCTGCTATGAGCTGAGGAGCGGGACCACCTCAACCCTCTACCCCTGTGGCCAAACACGAAGGAAACAATGTGGCAAAGTGAGACATAAGCAGGGGCTGGAACCTCAGTCTCAGCCCACCTACACCCAAGATGCAGGGTAAATTCATGGGCTGCACCAGGAAGAGATAGGCACAGGTCATAAGCCCATGTACTGTGCCCTCCAGGCCCCACAGGGCACCTGTACAGAGCACATTCCCAAGATGGCCAGCTGAGGCCCCCAACCCCTGAGAAGCCTGCTCAGTCCAAGGCTGGATGAACTGGTGCCCTCAGGATAGGGAAAAAAGGGTGGAGACTAACTGAGTAAGTCTGGGAGTCTAGCCTTGAACAGGGACTCCCCGAACTCTCTGGCTCAGTTCTCCAGCCACCATGTTGGGAGGGCTGAGGCCAAAGGGGCAGTGCATCTCTCTTCCAGGCATTCTCCTCCACGGCACAGGCTGAGACCACCCACCCTGTCACCCACAACCAAGGACTCCAAGGCAGCAGCACCCACCTGGTTTCAGGCACAGCACACTTTTCCTCATTCCACACAAATTTCTTCAGCACATCAGAGCAACAGTATTGTTTATAACAGGTGCCACAGCAGAAATCTGGACAGGACTCGGGAAACAGACTGAGCCCACGGGAAGCCACACACACTTCACTGTGGGCTGGAGGAGAGAGACAAACCAGTTTACATGTGGCCCACAGTGCCATGCCCAGCAAAGCCACTAGCCACAAGCACAACAGGCTGTCTCTAAGGATGGCCTCTTGAAAGGCCACCTCTCAAGCTCTAGCCATCTCTTCATTCAGCCTTGCCCTTTCCCCTCACTCACAGCAAAGCTACCCAAACTGGGCTCCCTTTCTCCCTGACCAATCTACTGACCTGATGGGACAGTAAAATTTCTAAATGTTGACTCTGACTGAGCCACTCCCCACTCCCAGATCCCCCTGGTTCCCACTGCTTCAAGATCAAGCCCAGAATCTTGGAAGCAGGGTGAAAGGATCCTGAAGATCACTCCAACTTTCCAGCCTGTCCACACTTTGCCTGCATTCTTGTCTGTTTCCCACCCCCACCATTCAGCTCTACTCATCCTTCAAGGCCTTACAACCCCCTCCTCCAGAAGCTGCCCAAACTCAGCAGTCACACAGCAGACCACCCAGGCACTGGGCCATCCAGTTGTTAATCCTCATTCCTTTTCCCCTTCACTCAGCCCAATAGCCTCATCCCCAACCTCAGGGCCCAGTTCTCACAGACCACCCCTTGACTCCTGACCAAATCACAGTCAGCCAGTCACACCCAGTACACAAGTGTCCATAAGGCACTTAGCACTGAGCTGGGCCTGAAGCAGACACACAGGAAATATCTCTATGCTCAGTGGCCAGGACTCTGAGGTAGTGGCACTACCTAAAGCCCCAGAGCCATCACAAGGTTCTCAGCTACAGAGCTGGGATCTAGTAGCATCCTCACAAGACTCAATGTTCAAAATCAAGCTGATGGAGCCTAGCTAACAACAAATGCGGGACACAGTTGAGAACAGATTTACAAACCTCCATGAAGATGCTACAGTAAATGTTCCCATGTATCCTTAGGCTACATTAGTAGAGAACTAGTAACCACAAGCAGGAAGAGACAGTACCAGATTAGCCAAGGCAAACCCCAAACAGAACACCTAGTCCAGCAAGGTCCATATGGCTACAGTAGGCTGGAGACAGGTCTGGTGATAATCCCTGAAATGTGGCTTTGTCGGCCTGGAAACAGTCCTGGCACAGGCAGGACACATACTCTGGAGACTGAGCCTGGATAGCAATCATGTGCCCTGGGGCTGTTAGAGCAAAGCCCAAAGGCAGACACTGAGTGACCTCCTTGAGAAGAGATAGCTAGGGGTTTGGGAGCTGCACTTTGTTTTTGGCAGCTTCAGGCAGAGCCCTGCTCTGTAAAAGTCATGGAGCCAAGGATCAGACCACCAACAAGACCAGGTTGGCTAGCTGTACACATGAAAGCAGGTTATCACCAGCATGGCCTGTGCTTCTGGGTGGATCAGGTGAGCCCACCTCCAGCAGGGTCTCTACAAGAACAGCCACAGCCCAGCCTGAGCCTCTGAGCTAGAGCTGAAGACACACACTGCCAAATCCATGCCACAAACACTTTCAGACCCTCAGACCTCTCTGGACCCTCCTACACACTCACACCAGAGCTCAGCTGACTGGGCACAGGACTCCTGTTTCCCATTTCCCTATGTCATGTCCTCCAGCCTTATCCTAGCCTCCAGGAAATAAAGCCTTCCCCTCCAGGAAGCCACCCACCCCAAAGGAGTCTTCAGCTTCCCATGGCCAAGCAAGGGGGGGGATTCTAATTCCTACCCCTAAAAGGTCCCCAGCCTGTCCTCCAGAGTGAATCATCAATCTACAACCAACACACAGTGGTGTCTCCTCCCCAGGGACCAGCCTCAGCATGCAGAGCCTCCAGAACACAAGGGCCCCCAGCAAGTAAACAGAGGCTACCAGAGAATTCCTCTGGTGGGGGACCACGGGGCCAAGTTAAATCAAGCCAGGGAATCCTACCCCAACCTCTAGGGACACAATCCCCAGGAAGGGAAAGTAGAGGGCCGGCAGACCCCTCCCACCATTCCAGGGCTGAACAAAGGTAGGAGCTGCCTGGAGTCTAGACAGTGTCAGTTCAGGCAGGGAGGGGCACTGGGGTAGAGGAGAAGTCTGCCTTCGTGGGGGACTGTCAACGGCTTCAGGGATATTAGGGGTCGGTGGGAGGCACTGCGGGGCTGGTGCTGCCTGGCTAGTTCCAGGGACAACGCATGAAGTGTCTGCCCCTGTCCTAGGGCAGGACGAACCGCCCCCACCCGAAGGCTCACCACCTGGAGGCGGCGGTAGCAGCAGCAGCAGCAGCAACAGGATCCGTGGCACTGGGACCGGAGCAGCCATGGCTAGGCGGGCGGGCGGGCAGACAGAAGGACAGAAACCCCGGGTAGTGGTGCTGCCGCAGCCCCAGCGACCCGCGCGGCCGCCCAGCTCCCTCGCCCCACCCGGGCCGGTTCCCGGAACCCCCGCCCGGGAGGGGAGGAGGGGACGAGCGGGGGAGGAGGAGGCAGGGGAAGCGGACGCCCCTCCCAGCCTCGGAGCCAGCTCTGAACCTGGCGTGGGCGCCAAAACTTAACTTGGGACCGGTTTCCGAGACGCGAGTAAGGGGACGCAACAAAGTTGCCTTCTGCTCCCTGGATACTTTGGCGGGGGTCAGTCCTCAGCCCTCGAGACGGGAGGTGGGGCGTTACGGCGAGAATCAGCTTCCTAACATTTAAGTGCCAGTAGTCCCAGCTACTCGGGAGACAAGCAAGAGGATCACTTGAGCCCAGGAGTTTGAGGTTGCTGTGAGCTATGATGAAGGTACTGTCTCAAAAAAAAAAAAAAGAAAAGAAAAGAAAGGGAAAAAAATTTTTTTTAATTTTGAGTCTTACTTTGTCACCCTCTGTAGAGTGCCTTGAAGTCAAAGCTCACAGAAACTTCAAACTCTTGGGCTTAAGTGATTCTCTTGCCTCAGCCTCACAAGTAGCTGGGACTACAGGCACCCACCACAACGTCCCGCTATATTTTGAGACACGCTCTCACTCTGGCTTGATTATCAGTTTAGCTAAGTGAATGACTTAACTTTGTTTTGGGGGGAGGAGGGGGGACAGAGTCTCACTCTTTTGCCCTGGGTGGAGTGCCTGGCGTTGTAGCTCACAGCAACCTTAAACTCCTGGGTTAAAGCCATCCTCTGCCGCAGCCCCCTCGGTAGTTGGGACTATGGGCGTTGGTCAAAACGTAGAGACAGGGTCTCACTCTTGCTCAGGCTGTTCTTGAACTCCTGAGCTCAGGCAGTCCACCCATGTCAGCCTCCCAAAGTGCTAGGTTTACAGGCATGAGCCACCATGGCCTGACCCTTAATCTTGAACATTCTTTTTCACTGACTCCTGGTCTTTTAGACAAAGTCTCTAACTCTTTCAGCCAACTATCAGCTAAAGAATCTTTAAACCCACCTATCAACTGTAAGCACTTCCTTTCCTGATGTCCCACCTTTGGGGGCAGAACCAATGCATGTTTTCCATGAATTGATTTATGACCTCACCCGGAATTCCTATCTCTCTAAAACGTAAGAAACCAAACTTAACCCCACCACCATGAGTCCATTTGCTCAAGGTTTCTTGGATATGGCTCTGGGTCATGGTCCTCAAATTTGGCTTGGAATAAACCTTTAAATTATTTTTCAGAGTATGGCCTCTTTTCTGTTGACATCAGTTAAGTTAAGCAGAGTCAGTTTTCTCCAACTGATGGAAAAGTTCTCACCAGAAATGGTAGCAAGGTGCCTAGGGAAATGGGGATGTGTCCAGACTGGTCATTTGCCTGGTCAGATCTAAAGGCAAGGGAAATCCAGCCCTGGTGTAGGGAAGGTCTCTGGTAACCTATACAGGTAGAGGAGACAGTTCCTGGCTCTTGGTCTGAGTTCTTGTTCCTGGTACAGAGCTTTCTAAAACCCTCAGAATTTTCTGTATCTCTTATGCTAATAAGATAACTTCAGCCTAGAAAGCTTCAGGATGTAGTCTAAACCAGGATAAGATGGTTAGATGTTCTCATCCCGTCCCACCCTCCAATTTCTGGGGAATGGAAGGAGGCTAGAGAATGAGTTCAATAACCAATAACCAACAATTTAATCAGCCTTTCTTTGTAATGGAACTACCATAAAAACCCTTGAACTCCAAGAACTTCTAGGTTAGTGAACACATTGTTGTGGTGGGAAGGTGGTGTGCTAACAGAGGGTCTGGAAGCCCTTCACACCCCCACCAGAACCTTGCCCTGTGGTTCTTTTCCATTTGGCTTGCCAAAAGACAAAACAACAAGAAATTTAGCTACAGATCTAAATGGCTTTTATTCAATGTTCATGGATGAGGATATCTTCCATTATGCAAAATATTAATAGAATGAGTGCTCCCACCAAGTAATAGTAGAACAGTGTGTGTTGTAAGGTGAATAAGGAAGTAGAACAGGGCTAGGTGCAGCGGCCCAGCCCTGTAATGCTAGCACTTTGGGAAGCCCAGGCCTGAGGATCACTTGACCCTATCGCTACAAACATTAAAAAAAAAAAAAAAAGCGGCACCTGTGGCTCAGTGGATGAGGCACTGGCCCTATAGACCTAAGGTGGCAGGTTCAAACCTGGCCCCGGCCAAACAACAAAAAAATAGCCAGGCATTGTGGCAGGCACCTGTAGTCCCAGCAACTCAGGAGGCTGAGGCAAGAGAATTGCCTAAGCCCAGGTGTTA